CTATGACCTGATACTTTGCTCAGGAATTCATGTCTTAGATCCCACTATTACCCAGAACTGCCACCTCCATGATCTCAAATTCCCCTCTGATCATAATCTCCACACTTCATCTCTCTCTCTGCTTCACTCTTTCCAACCTATTGTTTTAAAAAGACATCTAAGGGGCAGCTAGGTGGCACAGTGGACAGAGCACTAGCCCTGGAGTCAGGAGGATCTGAGTTCAAATTTGACCTCAGACACTTGATACTAGCTGTGTGACCCTGGGCAAGTCACTTAATCCCTATTGCCTCACCAAAAATAAAACAATATAAAAAGATGTTTCCTTTTTATTATTAGGAAACTTGAGAAAAACACCAATAAACATGAACATTTCCTTATACAAAGAGCAAAAAAAAGGACTGCATATGAAATTATGACTCTCCACTATACAGCTTTTTGGAAGTACATTTTAAATTTAGCATGATAGTCTCAGTTCTGCCCTGCTTGTCTGTGTCTACTTTTCGACTTCCTTCTGTTCTCTTCTGTTAACCTGTTTAGTTTTTTAATGATACATTGATGTTTTTTCCCCTTATTTCTCAGTATCTCTATTTACTTCTCCCCTTCCCCCCCCAACTTATTTTTCATCCACAACATGACTGTTAGTCCCTCCACAACTCATTGGTTCTTCCAATCAATTACACCTGCTCTTGTCTCACTTTCTTTGCTTATAACAGTACATGGCACATAGTGGATGCTTAATAAATTATGCTTGTTGACTCACTGACTGTCTCGACCAACCCCTTAACTGTCCTCCACCCTGGAAATTCTTGCTCTTTTGTTTTTGTAATCATACCCTGCCAAGGTCTGCCCAGAGATCAAAAAACCTTCACCTGACCCTAACATCCATCCCCTCAAGCTATCATTTCTCCTTCCTTTCACTGCCAAGTTCCTAGAAGTAGCTAATTATTCCCATTACCTCTACTTTCTTATTCCCTGCTCCCCAACCACTTGGACTTCCAACCCACCTGTTCAAATGAAATTGCTCTCCCTAAAGCTGTCAATGATCTCAAGTTTTAAATCCAATGTCCTTTTGTCAGTGTTGATCGTTCTTGATCTCTCTGTAGCTTCTGACACTGTTGAATATCCTCTCCTTCTGAATATTCTCTTCTCTCTTGACTCCCAGGACACTGCTTTTTCCAGCTTCTCCTCCTGCCCTGACTGCTTCTCAGTATCCTTCATCCTTTTCCCTCCCCCTAAGCATGGACATTCCTTCAAGGACTCTGTCCTGGACCCAATTCTATTCTCTCAATATTTTCTTCCTTAGTGATCTCATTAGCTACTATGGGTTGAATTATCTTTCTGTAGATAGCCCCCAAATCTATATAGCCAATCCTAATCTTCTTCCTGAATTTCAGTACTCCATAGCTAACTGGATATCTCTAATTTAATGTCCCATTTTAAATGCAACATGTCCAAAACAGAACTCATCATTTTTGCTCACTAAACTTCCCTCTCTTCCAAACTTTCCCATTTCTATTGAGAGCATTTCCATCTAGCTACACAGTGTCGTCATTCTCTCTCACCTTCTATATCCATTCAGTTGCAAAGTCTTATTGAATATATCTTCATAATATCTCTTGCCTCCACCCCATTCTCTCTTCAATCACTTGACCTCTACCCTAGTTTAGGCCTTCATCACTTGGTGGCCTAGACTATTACAGTACTTGGTATCTCCCCCCATTCCAGTCTCCTCTCATTTCAATTCATCTTTCACATACCTATCAACACAATCCTATAAAGTACAGTTGGCTCAAATCTAGTCATCCTGCCCTCAGGACAAAGCACCAATTCATCGGCCTGGTTTCAATGTACCCTTGCAGTCTTATTCACACTACCCTCCTTCACACCCAGCCAAACTGAGCTTGACGTTCCCAGTCCTGCCTTAATATACTGGCATACGATGTCCACCACTGAACACACCATCTCCCCATTTCTGCTTCACAGAGTTTTAATTTTCAGTGCTACTTCCTACTTAAGGCCTTCTCTGATGCTGGCATGCTCTTTTTCTTTCTTGTTCTCTTCTCAAACTACCTTATATTTACATCTGTATATGTTATAATTCCATCCCCCAATTCTTGAGGTCAATTGCTCTTTCATTTGTATCCTTTTATCCCCTTTACCTTGTACATAATAGCAGTTAGTGAATGTTTGTTGATTTTAGCCAATCTACCTGCATTCACGTGCTCCCTATGTCCTAAGAATTGGGGATACAAAGAAAAGGATCTGGACTTAAGAATCATGTACATAGAGAAGATAAGTGAACTAATGAGAGCTGATGAAATCACCAAGTGAGATAGTACATTGGGAGAAGAGGCTCCAGAACAGTGTTGGAAGACACTAAGAATTAGGTGGCATGACCTCTATGAACAATCAATAAACTAGGTCAAAAAAGAGAGGTAAGGCAGGTAGGAAGACCAGGAGAGAAAACCTAGACAGGAGAAAGTATCCAAAAGAAGAAGGTGATTGATAGTGTCAAAAGTTGCAGAGAGGTTAAGAAGGATGGGAAATGAGAAAAGGCCACTAGATTTGGCCATTAAGATCATCACTGATGACCTTTGGACAGACTTAAATTGAGCACAGACACATTCATGGCCCAAATTATGTACAAGAAACAAGGCCACGTAAAATGTAAACACTGATATAGGTTTGTTGAACTGAAATGTCTCACAAAAGTCTCTGGCACCAAAGATATTACTATTTTGGTGAGCATCCTCTCAATGCCAGGGGAGGAGCACAAATGACCGCTCTTTCATCTATATAACAACATAGTGTTATATATTTAAAAGGAGAAAAGGTATTGAGAAACAGATTAGATAAGTTTGATCTGAAAACTAAATTAAAGCACTTCTGGTGGGATGGTGGAGCGAGAAGATATATATCACTCCAAGTCAGAGCCACATGAGAAAGCTTCATGGAAAAGGTAAGGTTTGAGATGGACCCCAAGGTCTGGATAGTTAGGAGGGGAATTAGATATTCAAAGATCACAGAATTTAGGGACAGAAAGGTCTCAGAAATAATCCAAATCCAACTTCTTAATTTTATAGATGAGAAAAAAGAAGACCAAAGAAATTAAATGAAAAGGTCAATATAAGTGGCAGAGCAGGTAGATGGCAGGGTGGATAGACTGCTGGGCCTGCAGTCAGGAAGACTCATCTTCCCAAGTTCAAATCTGGCGTCAGACACTCACTAGCTGTGTGACCCTGGGCAATTCACTGAACCCTGTTTGCCTCAGTTCTTTCATCTGTAAAATATGCTGGAGAAGGAAATGGCAAACCACTTCAGGATCTTTGCCAAGAAAATCCCAAATGAGTAGGACTCAACTGAAAAAGGACAATATATGTGACAAAGCTGAGATTTAAAACCACCACCCTCTGACTCTTAATCCAGTATTCTTTTTACTTGTATAACACTCTCTCTCAACAAATACTCTCTAGACATGTAGTGCTGTGGGAATGTTACCAAATGAACACAGGTGCAGACATGGGAATGACTGTGGTCTATGTAGGGAGACCAGCTTGGTTGATAGAGGCAAAGGAAGTGGTTAGTGCTGAGTGGGGTGGGGTGGGATGCAAACAAGTGTGCAGCCTGGGAAAGAAGGTTGTATTTAGAGCACAGCAGACTCCTGGGCTCTTTATACTTTTAGTTGTGTGGCTCTGGGTAAGTTACTTTCCTTTTCTGGGTCTCAGCTTCCCTATCTGTAACCTGGGGGAAATGATACCTGCACCACCTTCCTCACAGGGATGTTCAGAGGATCAAACAAAAAAATAAAGCTGCTGTGAACGAATTGCTATATAATTGTCAGTTATGATGACAGTGAAAGGGATATTATTGGAAGATTATTTGGGGTGGCAGAGAAGGTACAAGAATGAGGATAATACATTTCAATTATGGATTCTGGGGCAGCTGTTACGAGTACTGGACTTGGAGGTGGGAAGACTTGAGTTTAAATCCAGCCCCAGAACTTACTAGCTGCGTGACCCTGGGCAAGTCACTTAACCTCAACCTTTCCCTCAGCCTCTACTTTCTTTACCTGAAAATGGGGATGATAATAGCACCTACCTCCCAGAGGTGTGGTGAGGATCAAATAAGATTCTTGCAAAGGGCTTTGCAAACCTATTTGCAAAATTATTATTACTAAGATTTACTTTCCTTACAGAAGCACAGTGCAAGTACTATTACTTCCCATTTTAAATATTTTACTAGTAATTTGCAGCTCTTCTAAAATATAAACTCCTTGTGGGCAGGAAGCTTTTGTCTTTTGCCTCCTTTTGTATCCTCAGTGATTAGTACAGGACTGGGCACACAGTAGGCGCTTGATAAGTGTTTACCGATTGGTCTTTTCCTGCCCCTAGAGTAGCGTCCTTAGCTACTTAAACAGAGAAGTAGCTCCAGGGCCGGGGCAGCCAAACGATCTAAATCAATCAATAGCTGGGTTCACACTCTATGAAGAGAAATAACCCAGTAAAAGGTTCCAAACCAAGGACTGGCTTCCCTCAGGCTAGTCAGTGATCAGGGAACAGGTCGCATTCGCGTCCCTTGACACGAGTGAGCTGATGCTCCATGCCCAGCGCTGGGTCCCTACGAGTGCAAGAGTTGGGGGCTGGCATCCAAGTCTCGGGACTCCCAGCGCAGAGGGCCGGGCAGGAGAATCAACATCTCTGCCCTAGACCTCACCTTACACGGCTTCTAACCTCGGTTTCCCCAGTTCACTGTACCCTCCTTTTCCCTTCGGGGAGAAACTTCTTCCCTCGGCTCCGCACACCAACCCTTACCTGGTTCTCTTCTAGTCTTTCCCACCACTCGAGCTCCTTCCCGGAAGTGACGTTTACACCGGCGCGCCGAGGCACGAGAAAGGTCCCGGGACGCGGGAAAAAGGGACCAACTTAGACTCAGTGAGCTCGCGCGCCGGGAGAGCGGTACCCGCCCCTTCCGGGAACTCCGCAGCGGGGCCCGGCCTAACCTACCCCCTACCCCCCTCCTTCTCTACCTCCTCTTTTGGGCAGTCTTCTGGGAGGGTAAATGAAAGTCTACCGAAGGTAAAGCTCAGCGGCCATCCGCCTGCCACCGCCCCGCTTCCCTCCTGCTTCCGCGCCGGCCCTTGCCCTTTGCCCTCTCTCGCGGCGGGGTGAGAGGTCAGGTGGCCATCTTGTGGCGGCGGCGGAGGCGGCTGTTACCGAGGAGACTCGGCCGCCCCTCAGGCCTTGGCCCCTCAGGCTCTCGGCCTGGCCTGACAAGTCCGGCTGCAGCTCGGTCTCGGACTGGACCTCGCCCCGGGCCTGTGTCCATCGGCTGCCTCTTCCCGCTCCGCCCCGCCCGGAAGCCCGCCAGTCCTCCCTCCCTCCCGCCACCATGTCCTCTTTCTCGGAGTCCGCGCTGGAGAAGAAACTCTCGGAGCTGAGTAACTCCCAGCAGAGCGTCCAGACGTTGTCTCTGTGGCTGATCCATCACCGCAAGCATGCGGGGCCCATCGTCTCGGTGTGGCACCGCGAGCTCCGCAAAGGTGCGTATCCAGTCGGGGCTGTCAGGCCCCCGCCTCCCCGGCAGTCTGAGAGCTCCCCCGATCCCCATGCGTCCAGCTCTCTGCCTCCCCTGTCTCGGGCCGAACCCATTTATTAAGCGCCTATTATCTGTCAGGCCCTGGGCCAACCCCACCCCCCAATCCTCCAGGAACCCAGCTGTCTGCCCAGCTCCCCAATCCTTAGTGCATCCCTTTCCATGTGCTTCTTCCCTGTCCCCTGCCTCCCCCTACCTCCGTCGGAGCTGGAAGCAGGCATTTATTAAATGCCTACTGTGTGTCAGGCACTGTTAAGGGGGAGCAGCCTTTCAGCCCCCTCCCCGGTCTATCCAGTTCCCTATTCCCACATGTGCCCCTCTCCATGTGCTTCTGTCAGGCCCCCCGACTTCCTCTTCTTCAGTCTGATTTGTCAGCCGAACATTTATTAAGCTGCAGGGCTGTGCCTGTCGCTGTCCTAGCTCTGGGGATTGCAAGAAAGGCAGTAGAAATTCTTATGCCAGAGGTGCTCAGCCTTCCACTACTTTGTGCCTCAAAACCCCCCCCCCACCTCTGTCTGGACAGTCAGTAAGCATTTATTGAACACATTTTCTGTGCCAAGGTATTGTGCTAAGTTCTCCTAACCCTCCACGAATGCCCTTCTACTTCTGTCTGTCCAGCTCCCCAGTCCTTCATGCATCTCTCTCTCTGTGTTTGTGCCAGGCCGCCAGCTCTCCACCACCTGTCTGTCCTCTTTCTCCACATGCTTTACACTGCCTTTATCTGAATAGCTCCCCATTCTTAATGAACCCCTCCTTGTCTGTCTGACCAGTCCCCAAACCACCAGTACCCCTACCCATCTCTCTCCAGGCCTCCACTAGCTCTGTCTCTCCATCCCAACCTTCCAGGACCTTTCTGACAAGCTTCCAACTCTCCATGCACACGCCTCTTGACTTTCTAGCTTCCCACCCGTCTCCACTGAATGTCCCTCCAATTCTCCACTACTGTCTCTGTCATTCACACACCCCTTCCCACCTGAGTCCTCAACCCTTCACACAAGCACTCTTCCTCACAACTTTTTCCATACCCTTTTTGCCTTCAAGTATTCTCCTCTACTTAGTCCCTTATACCTCTTCCTGCATGTTTTCCCCTTGGGCAGCCCTCTGAGTTCCCACTCCTTTGTGATTGCTGATGACTCCCAAATGCTTCATTTAGGAGGGAGGAATCTCGTTTTGATCTATCTGCCCTTTTACTTCTTTCTCAACACTTTTAATATTCAGCATCTTTTTGTTGGGTTGATGAAGGGGCCTGCAGGCATGTGTTCTCATTGAGGTACACCTGGAAGTAGCTAAAGTTAGGTCTTTGGTGCCAGAGACTTTTTTGGTTGTAGTTGGGCTAGTTCACAGCAGCAGAATTTTAAAGCTACTACTATATGTAAGGTACTGTGCTTTCCCCAAAACTTGAACCATCAGTAGGGGTTCTGTGATAGGTTTTGATGCTGCTTTTTGGTGTTCTTCCCAACCCTTTATCATCTAGAAGTGTGTATTTCAGAGGTCTCCAAATTCACTATTGTCTCCTTATAAAGTACGTCTTGGGGGGCAGCTAGGTGGTACAGGGGACAGAGCTCCTGCCTTGGAGTCAGGAGGACCTGAGTTCAAATCTGGCCAAAGACACTTGACACTTACTAGCTGTGTGACCTTGGGTAAATAACTGAACCCTGATTGCCTCACCAAAAAGTAAAAAAACAGAACAAAACAAAAAAACTAGGAAAAACATACCTCTGAAGTACTTAAAATTACTTGACCAAAATTATTGCTTTTCATTGCCTAGAAATTTTTCTGTTTACCTAGTACATACTCCTATTTTTCCTCTTTCACCCTTATTTTTTTTTCTTCAGTTTATGGAGCCACTTCTATACTGTAATTTGTTTAAAATGCTCTTGAAGAAACAACTTCTTTAAAAAGTAAATATATTGCCTATAAAGTAGGTAACTTTAAGACTGTTCTCAGGACCTCAAAAGAAAGTCAGGAAGTTTTTTGTCTCTGTCTAACAACCAAATGAACTGATTGGGAGAGTGGAGTTGAAGAGTGGAAGAGAGAGGAAGGGAAGAGGAAGATAGCTTAAATGATCGATTTTTGCCTTTTGAAGAGAGCCTTGATTTCTAATGTCACAACAGATGAAAGCTTTATAGTATATTGTCCATGTATCTGGGGATTCAAAAAAAAAATTACTGTTCCAGTAATTCCTGAGGTCTAGATTTTCCTCTGAAATGACTTTTCTTTATACACATGACTCCTTGCTAGGGGCATAGAATGTTTCCTGAAGAAGGGAAGAGCGTTTCATCCTAAAGCACATCATAATAGTTTGGCTGGAAAGGTGATGAAAATAATTGTCATTATTAGCAGTGAAAATATTTGATTTTTTATCCTTAGTTGTCTTATGGAATTCATAATTTCAGCTGCTGGAAAAATTTTGATTCATAGAGTCATAGGTTAGAACTTGAAGGGAACTCAATGTTCACTTGCTCATAACATCCTAATTTTGCAAAGGAGGTCCAGAGAAGTTAAATGACTTGTCCAAGATTGCAAAGGCAGTAAGTAACAGAGCTGAGATTTGAACCCAGATCTTACTCCAAATACAACACCCTTTCCACTTTGCCGTAGTGCTATTCTACAGTGTCCAAATTGTTTTCTTGTCATTTGGATTCTGGGTTTTTGAACGTAAGACATGTGAAATATGTAAACCTTTATTTAAGAATTGGCTATTGTTATTTTATTTTAGAATTCATTGTTGATTAATATCAATACAAACTTGGTATTTATGGATTTCTCCAGCTTCCCAAAACAGGTGTATGAAAAGAAATACCTCCTATGGTATTTATACCTTTGTTACTGTAATGGGATACAGGAGTAATTATTGAATCCACTTTTGTTTTTGACCAATTATTAAAACTGTTAAAGTACCTTTAGATTATTAAATTTCTTATTTGTTGATCTGACTTGTTACTAGATGTTTATTGGAATTGAGAGCAGACATATTTATATGAACTTTTGGGGGAAATATTTAAACTGTTGTGTTTTTTTAAAACCCCAAATTTAAGTTTCAGTTATTATCAATAACTACATTTGAAACTATCTTGTAACTGCTGAGTGATGCATGCTATGTGTCTTTCAAAAGGGGAAGAAAAATGGAGCAAAGACTAGTTTGTAAGGTGGGTAAAGGTTGAAGTATGATACGTTTGAGTTCAAGTACTTTGGTATTGAAGAAAACTTAGTGTTCCGATATCTGATTACATTTTTATTTATTCCTTTTAAAAGAAAACCTTCACCAAAAACTGGTGATGCAACTTTATGGTCGAGAAGTTATGTGCATGGAAGCCAGGAAATTCAGTAATGTTCCCCAAAGCAACTGTAACTCAGACATACTGTATGAAGTTTTTATGGTTTAATATATGATACCATATAGAGTAATAGGAAATACTGCATCTACTATGTATAAAAAAAAAGAATTATGGGTTTTGTGGGAGCCATAATTTTTATTTTCCTGACTTCATGTGTGTAAATTTTAAGTAATGATCTGATAACATAGCATTAATATATTTTTGCATTTTAAATAAAGAATACATCTTTTAGAGGTTTTTCTGTTGGGTTACAGAATTAGCTACCTTGGACTGGTGACTAAAAATGTTCAGGAAAAAAATTTAACTATTGGTTTGTGGATAACAAAAAGTGATTTTGAAATAAGAACAGGTTCTGATTTAGTTTCTTTCAGTAACATATAGTAATTAACAACAGCAGTTAGAAATGTCCATCCTTGCAGTATATTCCTGTATTTTCAAGTAAAAGTTTTGTTTTGCCATGTGCTATTGGATTTCGAATTCTTAACCTTTCGGATCTTTTCTTAAGATAGTATTTGTAACTTTGTGCATTTGACACAGAGACTTATTTCATGAAGAAATTAAGACAGTTATTTCCTTTTATACTAGTTTTAGGCCAGCTTTGGTAAAAAAAATTAGGTCTTAAGTGCATTTGTTGCTATATTCTATGAAGTTTGTTAAATGCACAGTCCTTGACCTCTAACAAAGATATGTTTGTATTCTGTTATATAGTAAGTAGGCTTTGGTAAGAAACTGACCATGAGATGAGAAATAGCACAGTTACAATGTAAGTTAAAGTATTTTCTTTTCTTCTTTCAGCCAAATCAAATAGAAAGCTTACGTTTTTATACTTAGCAAATGATGTCATCCAAAACAGTAAGAGGAAGGGGCCTGAATTCACTAGGGAATTTGAATCTGTCCTCGTGGATGCTTTTTCCCATGTTGCCAGGTATGTTGTCTGCTTTTTTTTTCCTGTAATTCTTTTATTACTTTGTGTGAAACTCTCTACCACTTGAAAATTAAATATTTTTGTCAGGATATTTATAGCTATACAGGCCAAATTAATGGTTTTCCTTCAAGCTAAATCCTTAAGAGCTCTAGCAACTATGTAAACATTTTGGCACATTATGAGAATTCAACAGTAATACTTAAGGGATACTCTTACTAAGGATACTCTTTCTTTCTCCAAATTATGTAACAACTTATCCTAATAATTTTCTGGGTCATATTGTACTTGGGTTTTATTGAGTTGTCTTTAGCTTGTGATCAATAACATGGTAAATAGCATATTTAGTTTAAATTTTCTTAAAGTCAGTCAACAAACTTATGGTCTCTTAAAGATCAGAACGCAGAGTAATAGTCCTTTGACTTATATCAACCTTTATATGAAGAGGAGTTTTGGGTGATGGTGCCCTAATAAAAAGGAATAAGTTATGTCTCCATTTTTGCATGCTTGCTCTGTTTCCAGGAACCAAAGTTTTGTGCCTGTTTTTCTTTCAGCTAAAGATAGTACTTGTTTCTGTAACAGCAAAAGCAGTAATTACTAATCTGCAAAATCAATATTGGATCTAGTGTTGTCCTGCTAAACCTTTCCTATTTGTTTTTGCTAAAGAGCACCATAGCATGTTCCATGTAGTGATGTAAATGACAGCCTGAATTATTTTAAATGTGATAAAGAAAAATTTCGTCACAAGAAACTGACAAGCATTTATTAAGTTCTTGCCAGGCAGTTTGCCAAGCATGGAGTTACAAAGAAAGGAAAAATAATTCTTACCCTTTTGGAGCTTGTGTTCTAATGAGGGACAATATATTAAAAATGCCTACATATAAGATACATGTAAAATAGATGGAAGGTAAGCTTACAGAGGAGGTTCTAGCAGCAGGGGGAGGGAATGAGACAGGATAGTGGTTTTTTGAACAGTGTTTTGAAGAAAGCCTGGGAGTCTTAAGAGGCAGACTTGAGGAATAGCATTCTAGGTAGGGAATGGGAGATAGAGTATCATGTAGGAACAGTAGGTAGGCTGATGTCTTTGGACTTTAGAGTGTTCAGAAGATAGTAAAATAAAAGACTGGAAAAAGGTTAGAAAGGGTCCAGGCTGTAAAGAGCTTTAAATGTCAACAAAGGACTTTATATTTGATTCTGGAGATAAAAATACCACAGGATATTTTAGATCTAGAAATAATTTGATTGAATCTATAAATGCTAGTCTGTAGTTGTAGAATATCCCTGGAATAAAGGGAAGCCAGGAAATTTGGAACTGAATGAAGGAAATTTTCATAATGAGAAATTGACATGTGTGTTAAGCATTTTGATGCATACTTTCAAGTCTAAGGTTTTAGAAGGAGAAACATTGCTTATGTCAACATTTTCTTGTGTCTTTGAACATGTTTAGGAAACATCAATGTGTATCGTTTAGTTAAGCATTCAGCTGTAGATTGTTTTCCATAGAGAGAAACAGTAGAAAAGAAAATCTGGCTATTCTTCAGTGAAACATTACTTCACATTGAAAAAACAAAACAGAACAAAACCCCCCAAATCCCCTCAGCTTTGCCAGAAGGACAAAATCAGAAAAAAAGAATGTGATATAATTTTTAAAAAAACAAAAAAGGAAATAGAAAAATATTTGAGTATATTATCAAATAAAATATTTTTTCCTCTTTTCCATAGGAAAGCTAAGTTCTAAACTGATGACACTAAAAAAACTGAGGATGTTATTGGCTTTTATATGATTAAAAATTGGGTCTTTCCAATATAAATTCATTCTTGAACAGACTGCTAGAATATAATACTTGGAATGGTATAGGAGGCCTTAAAATAAGGAAGATTACTTTAGAAGTTGAATGTGCCCCATCTTCAAACCTACATAATACACTTTAGAAAGTAGAGGTGATCCTTAGAGCATTTGCCGATAAGTATTGATCAGGATGACCATGACTGGAAAACAGAAAGTAACTTTTTTTAGAGAGAAATTTTGGGAATTAAAATTTGATCTTCTTAACTCTTATGACTAGAAATTCCATTCAGAAATGCAGACATTTAGCACCTATTATGGGCTGGATACTATGCTACATGTTGGGAATACAAAGGCAAAAAGTAACCAGTCTTACATTCTACAAGGGGGCAAATGTAACATATAAACAGATAAATGGCCGCAAGATAATTTGAGGAGGGGAAGAGCACTAACAATGGGCAAGGAAGGAAAGGTTAGGAAGTGACTTGGAATATATCAAAAAATAATTTTACAGTCATCAGAAAGGCCATGGGTACTTGATTAAAACTATCCAGAAGCTTTTTGGGAAGGAGAATCCTATCAGTATTTCTTATTCCCCCTTTCTGTCTGCTTTTTTTCAAGGGCTACTTTTGTATTCAGTGCTCTTATCAGTTTCTCTCTTCATTCTCTTTCTAGTGTTATTAAAAATTTGAAGACACATGGCTTATTTTGTAACTTAATAGTTGGTTTAGATGTGTCCGTAATCAAGTTTCGATTGTGATTAAAAGGCTACCTTGTCAGAAGACTTGGACCTCTTCAGCTGTCTTTTTATAGTTCAGTAGTGATGGCTTTATACTGAACAAAGAGAATTGATCCTTTTAATTCAGTTGATATTCTACATTTGATTATCATTTAAGAAAAATACCAGCAATGACAGTCACCAAACCAGAGTCAGAGTTAGTGGTCTATGGAGTGGCCTTTTTTAAAATTGTAGTTAAGTTCCTGTGTTTGAAAGACTAAAAGACATATTTGTTCTATACAAAGTACCTCATTAGTTTTTACATAACTGTTGTACATATTATTTTGCATTTAGAGTAAGATATAGCTTTTATTTTTACCAGCTTTTATCATTACATAATTCCCTTATCTGTAGAGTGAGAAATTTAACTGGATAATCTCTAAGTTCCCTTTTAGTTCTGCTATATAAATATTTATTGAATATGCACGGTTCTGGGAATACAAAGAGACATAAAGAATGGTTCTCGTATTCATATAGTTGCAGGGAGTGGGAGGTGGAGAGTATGAATAAGAAGATGGAGAACAAACTATGTATGTAAAAAGATAAGTAGAATAATAGAATGTCAGAGGTGGAAGAACATTTAGTCCATTTCCCTCATTTTACAGATGAGGAAACTGAGACCCAGATGGGAAGTGGCTTATCCAAGTTTACAAAGATAGGACTTCAGCCCAGGTATTCTTTAAGATTCAGTTCAAGTGCTACTTCCTATAAGAGACTTTTTCTGATTCCCTCAATTTTTAGTGCCTACCCTTGCCCTCAATCACTGCATATTTTTATGTATCTCCTGTATTATCTGTGAGCATGTTGTTTTCTCCTTGTAGAATTTGAGTTCATTGGATGAGCAGCTATTTCACTTTTTTATCACCAGTGTCTACATATTCACTGGTATACAATAGGTGCTTAAGATATATATTGGTTGTTATTCAAAGTCTAGTACTCTTGCCCTGTATCTCTTGTCCACTTTGCCACTCGCCCACAAAAAGAATACTGGGTAGCATGTACTGAGTGGTCTGGACAATAAGTACGTAAGGAGATCAAAGGAGAGACAGCTGGACTGACATGTCTAGGAAAGCCTTCAAGTTCATGTCCTCAATTTTCAACAGCAGCAATTAATTTTTAATATATTTTTCACATTCACATTTTCATATTTTTTTCTATCTATGTTAGAATGCTTTGTAGGCGATTTCAACTATTTGTTAGTGTTGAAACCATAACTGAAATAGTTATGAAATCATAGCATACTTAAATGATTTTCATTATTTTGTTGTGCTGTATGAGGACAATTACTATTTAAAAAACCCAGCATATTCTTAGTTGTTTTTAATTTACTGAAACAACAAGCTTAAAGAGGAAGAGAAAGAAAAAAGCACTTATATACCATCTCTTATGTGCCAGGCGCTTTCCCAAATATCTCATATGATTCTCACAACCGCCCTGTGAGGTAAGTGTTGTTATGTCCTCATTTTATAGTTGAAGGAACTGAGGCAGAAAGGTTAAGTGACTTTCCCAGGGCTACGTAGCTACTAAATGTGTGGAGTCAGAATTGAATTCAAGTCTTTCTGACTCCATGTCTAGCACCCTATGTACTTCACTATCTAGTTGTCAATTCAGATTGCAAATAGGGTGACTGAAAGACAACCTGGGATTGAGTCTGGGAATCAGGAAGACCTGGCTTCAAGATCAGTTTCTGGTACATACTAGCTATGTAACCATGGACAAATCACTTCTCAGTGATCCAGGCAAGTCTAAGATTTTAAGCTGTAGGTAAATTGTTTTATTGGTAGTGTTATTTTTTACTCCAAAATTTTCCTACACCCATGAAATTACAAGGCTGAGTGAATAGCAAGAACAAAAAACATTTTGGATATTTTTACAAAATTTTACAAAATTGTGGAGTTTTCAGATGTTTTTAAAGTACCACCTAACTTTTTAAAATGAATGTATGTTTTGTATTTAAAAAAATACCCAACAACAACAACAACAACAACAAATACAAAAAAGAGTAGAGTCTATTGGCCAGATCAGCAGTAGAAACATGTAATATTGGATAATGCAAATGTCACAGTTTTATTCAGAGAGTGGTAAAGAAGTGTTTTGCTACTTTTAAAAATTTTGAAATTTTGAAAAATTTTAGAATTAATTAGTTCAGTTTGCAAAGTAAGTTACTGCTGTTCAAAGTCACTTCTCTTCAGTATATTCTAAGTCCAGCCTTTTAAGGATCATTACCAGCAAATAAAGTTTTTGAACACTTTTCACATAACCCTGAAATTTATGACTGAAAATTCACCAAATGTGATCCAAGTATATAATATCTGAGGCAGAGTATTTTTTTTAGTCATTTAAGAAGTTGGACATTATAAAATCATAGGGAAGTAAGCTGCCTTGGCGGAAGTGGACTATTTTGATCCATTACATTCTCTAGTCAGCTAAGAGTTTAAC